CTATATATAGTGTAATGCTTATAAATGGTACATGATCACCGCGTGTTTCGGATTCGTCAGAGCATGTTTATAACACGACCTATTCACAGTGGCCATTACAGTAATGCACCTTGCATGTGAAGTCAAAGCGAAAATGTTAGGGCTTTCAATGATCACATGTGAAGGTATAGCAGAATATTTGAGCTCACTGTAGTGGAGATATTAGTGTTTATCAAATTGATAATTTCTGATATTTCATCAGTTAAAATCGCACTCGACCAGTAATGGCGAAAGAGTCGCCCCCGTACTCAATCAGTAATGGCGGGTGGGGTCGTTCAGAACTCAACCAGTATTGACAGAAGGGGTCGCCCCGCACTCGACCAGTAATGGCGAAAGGGGTTTCCCTGCACTCGGCCAGTAATGACAGAAGGGGTCGCCCCGCACTCGACCAGGAATGGCGAAAGGGGTCGCCCCGCACTCGGCCAGTAATGACAGAAGGGGCTGCCCCGCATTCGACCGTAATGGCGAAAGTGGTCGCCCTGCACTCGACCAGTAATAGCGGAAAGGGTCGCCCCGCACTCGATCAGTAATGGCGGAAGAGGTCGCCCCGCACTCCACCAGTAATGGCGGAAGCCCGCACTCGACCAGTAATGGCGGGAGGGGTTGTCCTGCACTCGACCAGGAATGGCGTAACGGGTCGCCCCGCACTCGGCCAGTAATGACAGAAGGGGCTGGCCCGCATTCGACCAGTAATGGCGAAAGTGGTCGCCCTGTACTCGACCAGTAATAGCGGAAGGGGTCGCCCCGCACTCGACCAGTAATAGCGGAAGGGGTCGCCCCGCAATCGACCATAAATGGCAGAAGAGGTCGCCCCGCACTCGACCAGTATCGGCGGAAGCCAGCACTCGACCAGTAATGGCGAAAGGGCTCGCCCTGTACTCTACCAGTAATGGCGGGGGGGGGCGCCCCGCACTCGACCAGTAATGGCGAAAAGGGTCGCCACGCACTCGACCAGGAATGGGGGAAGGGATCGCCCGCACTTGACCAGTCATCATATAAGTTAAAAGATATCGAAGATGGAGAATGTGGATAACGAGAAAATTGTTAGATCAGTAATGTACAGTATAGTACAGTTGTTATTAATATAACTCCCAGAGTTTATATATAGTTTAGACTAAATTAAAAAGTTCACGCGACAGATTGCATCAAAAACTTAAACAGACATTTTCATCCTACAAAAACCCTTTCCAAAAAGTATGTTAACGATAAAGTAAGTTTACCCTTTGTCACCATCTAGCCCATCTGTCATAAACAGTCAAATAAGTTCAACAAAAATCATCGATAATAGCTAATAAACATTTTTGTGACCAGAGAATTATCCCTGAGATGAACCTTACATACGCATTATTTTGGCGCAGGCAGATTATTTAAAAGATACGCTGGTACGCAATGCCACTCTTTATCTTGTAAAATGACCAGATAACGTTGATCATTTTCACGAATATTGTTATACATAATATCCTATTAACAGCGTGTTTGATTGGATTACACCGATCACATGACAGGGAAATAAAACATATTGTTTCCCTCAATCATGTTTCAATCTGATTTCACTCGACCTGATAAACCAACACCACAACCATGAAATAACTCCATTTTATTACTGAATACAATGTTTAGGTTAATTCAGCAGGAAGTACATGTATCTGCGATTCATTCGATCACTGCTACATGGTAGCCATTCACCGGTATTAGGCCCCTCTTTTCCTCTGCTTACACTTAACACTACACCTTCAACATTCAGCGTGAACAATTAATGGTGTACTTGAGTTCGTCATCACGCTGGACTGCGACATGTCTCGCCAACATGGAGGAGGGGTTTTCTCGTTGTTACATAATATAACGTTGGTACAGGGCGATATTAAACCCTTGTAGGAGCTGCCTAATGCCTGTAAGCAAATAAGGGAAACAACTCTTGTAGTCCTATCGACAAAATGTGTCATAGTACGTGAGCGCGTGCATACCGTTTCGTTATCTTTAAAATCATTTTTAGTTGTTTCAAATCAACAAAGAATAACTGGGCAACCAACAAAATAAATCCGGACATCATTTAAACAATCATTGATTATGTCGACCTTTATCAATAAAAAAAATCCATTCATACTAGCTAAACACCCAATACACGATATGTATTTAAAACAGAAATAAAAAAAAAATGCCAATAAAAAAGGCGGGCATCCCGGGAGGTTATTACATCTTATCGTTTTAAATAATTTCTGCATTGTATATAAAATTAAGAAATCCATGCTTAAAATATACATTATGTAGATCCTAGCCTACTGTGAATTCCTGGAAAGTTCTATTAATATATTAAGGAAATTTTAGAGTAATACTACATATAGATTTCTATATATAGTGTAATGCTTATAAATGGTACATGATCACCGCGTGTTCCGGATTCGTCAGAGCATGTTTATAACACGACCTATTCACAGTGGCCATTACAGTAATGCACCTTGCATGTGAAGTCAAAGCGAAAATGTTAGGGCTTTCAATGATCACATGTGAAGGTATAGCACTCCGTGTATCCTCACTGTAGTGGAAATATTAGTGTTTATTAAATTGATAATTTGTGATATTTCATCAGTAAAAAATGTAATAAATTGTACATTGTCTATATATGTGTGTTATATGTGTATTGCTTATGTATAATATCATATGAATGTAATACTAACGATTTACTCCATCAAATTTTTTAGTATTTTCATTGCCATATTGAGAAATTCCATTAAATACATAAATTTACTTAGTGATAAATTTTGACTTCTTTTTAAGAAAGATGTACAACATTTTCCGTCACAGTTTTCTTTTCTCTATGCTATAACCGTTTATCGTTTATGTTACTTTGTACAATACTTACTTTGTTCCTATATCTCACTGGATCCCTATATCCAATTTTGCGTGTTAGTTTTGTCTTTTTTATTACAAACATAAATAATTTTAAATTATTTCCATTTCATATTCATATTTTTCATCGAAATTAACGTGTATGTATTCAAAAGGAAAGAAAAATGAAAATTAATCAATTTAGTTCTTTATACCTCTAGACGAAAAACTTTATTACAGCCAGATGTGATTGTTTATCGGATAATTCGAGAGCGTCGTCTTTTAAATATATAACATAATATACAATGTAGTACAATGTATAATGGACCCTGAATAGAAAAACGTCGGTAGAGTGTGGCATGGAGGTGTACATAAAGATTGAGGTATCTCCCCTCTGACAGCAATTTAAAAAATTGTCAATAGGTCTGCTGTACGCTGCCTATTTTAAAGACGTCGTCTGACGAATCTTGTCAGTTATTGTCGTTTGTCGTTTGATTTTACATACCTCGACATCATCTAGATAATAATAGTGATTTATCTCATGATTCATTCATAACCCGACAACCACCGATTCTCGCCAATCGTTCAGTGAGCACGGATTTTATTACCAAAGTCCGTGGTTAAAGTGAGTGTCCACATGGAGGGAGAAAGAAACGTCATCACAGTGGTGATAACTCTATTTTATTAAGAATTTCGGGTACAGGAATAGATTGTAACGTAATTAAGACACCTCACTTTATAATATATTTTATATATCTACGCGCGTGATATAATCCAAGATGACGTTTACAAACATTAAGAAATATTTATACATTGATTAAAACAATCCTTAATATTGGATGAATCACGTTCGATACAACCCAAGTATCCACGGGGACGAACACAACATATATTACACGATAGAGATGGTGCGTTTTAGGACAGTTCGCTGGCCAGCTGATCAGTGCATGGGCAACCCTCACCTCAGCAACTATTTTTAGACTAAGAGAAACGAAGGGAGATTAGAACATCTCCTTTCCGGCGATAGCATTTTCTGAATTTTATGTATTTATCTCGTTCAAAATTTTACTTGTTTATTCATAAAATATTACTCAGATGCATTGACTGTACCATCTTCTATAAACTACCTTACTTTAAACCTCAGTTATAATAGGATTTCAAAATTCGGTCAAGTTGACATATTTGTAAATGAGATTTCCAACCCGTTCGGGCCAATAGCTCAATGCCATGACCGTTTTGTTGTGTGTATGTGTTCACGTGTACAGAGGGTGATTTCCAAGTTGTTTATAACTCAGCGCCGTCCCCAAAATTATCATAACGGACTTGGATTCTGAACTGAACAGACCTACTAAATTTGTGAATTCCTTTGTGGACTAGTCTATAGCGATACTTATATATTCTAACTGAAAGGTAAGCTTTGTTTACATTTATAAACTGTATTAATATTATGTTTGTTACTGTTAGGCTATTTTGTTGTTATTTTTCAGTCGTTATTTAGTTTTAAGATTTCTATTCTGTTAATGGATGTCTAATTGCGTATCTGCGGTTTCGACTTGTGTTTTTGTGTTAGGTGATAATATATTTCTTAAAATATGACATTGGACAGCTTTACATTTATTGAGAAATAATATTGGGCAGCAACGATGCCGCAACGAGGTCAAGCTGCAGACATTGTTTACATTTCTAGGTCAGTCTCATAGCGGGCTCATGCACTCCCAGGACACACTGACAGGCTTATTTTCATATTGGAGAGCGTAGATTGTGTTTGTTTCGATTCCTGGCATATATATCCATTAATAGTCGCATAAATACTTGTGTACACGTGCTCTCGAAGTCTTAATTGACCTATTAACGTGCTCTCTAAGCCTAATATTTAATAATTGGCCTATCGAGTTGAGGATAATATGAGCTGTTTCTTAAGCAAGTCTACGGGAAGTATACATATATTCGAATTAAAGAAAGAAGTAGTGTTTCTATATAATTTTAACCTGTGTCGTGAGGTCACGGTAACTGCTTTGTAACGATTGTTGTTCACTGGCCCAGTCATTCTTTGTGCATGCAGCTATCAGCCGATTTCGACGCCCACGCGCATGCGTGTATTATACGTGAAGAGGGCATGATCGGCTATGATCGAGCTAATAGTGCGGTAGTCTATTATTAGCTTAACACGTGTCGCACAGCCCAGTCGATGACTTTTGGTTAACCTTCTACAAAGCTACTTTTACCTGAAAACTAATGATTTTGGGGAACACACGGCATGTGATTGTTTTTGTTATGTTTAACTTTAATTGTTAGGAAATAAGTTAACAAATAACAAATAGTTTGTTATTCTCACTCAGAATACAGATTCTAGTTTACGAATAGAACTTGACACATGTACTTGTATCTTTTTGCTGATTATTTACTCAACGACTGTTAAAATAAGAAGTTTTTTTAACGTGGCTTACTTTCTTTCATCCTTAGATAATCAAGATGTTGGACAACGAAATGAACCAGAACGAAGTTATGCTCCCTCGGGCGCTAGACTCACTGGCTATGCCATTCGAGAGCGCCTCCTCATCATCTATGATGCCCGAAATTCCTAAGGGAGGACTTCTTGTCAGGGTAAGTTTATTTAAAGATAGATCTTTTCATTTCTCATACTGTGTAATTTTGATATAAAATAGGTACATTGTAAATCAATATTTTCCAATTCTAAAGGTAAAACACATCGAAAATGAATGAATTGCTCGATTCCGTTTCACTTTTAACTCAATAATGATTTGAATTTCCACAGGTGTGCTATGCAGGAGCTTGCTACTCTGAGGGAATGCTGAGGAGAAAAGAGATCCGACCCACTCTTCCAGGTATACACGACAACTCTCTCTACCCAGGTGTGCACTTAAACAAGGCGACAATTGGGCTTTTTTTGTGAAAACGTCAAGTTTGATTGAAAAATCGATACAAACTCATTAACTGTCTCTGTAAAATTACTGGCTACCAGTGAACTTCTTTCGTGAACAAAAACTGATAAAAGTTTCATAAAATGGATCTGACCTTTCTGCACTTGTTGCTTGACACGCCCAATTGCCGATGTGCTGTAACTGCTTCTTGTGATGTCATAACGTTGATGTTTCTCTTGTTGGTTTGTCTCGTGTCATAATTTGTTCTATAATACCCATTTATAATTAATACGGTTAAACATACAGGCAAGTCTCTATAAGACGGGTGTTTTATATGGGTGTCGGGTTTCTATGTTTCAGGACTGGAGATATCTGGTGTGGTCCAAGATGTTTGCGCATCACTCCCGAACGGCAACTTCAGCACTGGAGACAAGGTTGTCCTATACCCTGATGAAAATTTAGTCGACTCTGGCTACAGTGAATACTTAGCCGTGGAAGATGTACAGAACTGCCTACAAATTCCAGAAAACATTCCGCTAGAGGTCGCCGCCATGCTTCCAGGTGGCGCACTGTCCGCATACAGTGCCCTATTAAAAGCCAAACCTCATGTGGAGAAACTTCAAGAAGTGAAATGTAAGTCAAATCTTTTCTTTCAATTGCCTCAACTGTTTTATGACTACAATTATCAAATGTGTTTTTTTAGCGAGAGGAATCTGGTGTAATTTTTATATTGAACTTGCTATCAGTAAAACACTTGAATTAAAGACCTTCCGATGTTTACCAAGTGCTCTTTTCTGTTGCAGCCTGTGTGAATGTACTGGTGGTGGGTGCGGGTGGTCTGGGGCTGTGGGCAGTGAAGCTGGCTCAATTCCTTGTCGGGCCACATTCCAACAACATCCGCCTGTTTGTTGCTGACAACAGTATCGACAAGTTGTTGACTGCGCAGGACCATGGCTGTTACGACATCATCCACTGGAACGAAGAGGATCACGAGCAGTACATCATAGAGAGAACGCTGGACGCCTGTCGCGGTGGCGTCGACGTCATCGTGGACTTCGTCAGCTCTCCCCGCACCATGCAGAGATCTCTCAAGATTCTCAATAGGGTGAGTGGATTCCTCATGAATACAAAAAAGAAGCATTGATAAATTGCTGATTAATTTGGAAATAGCGTAGGTCTTGTTTTACTCGCTTATTAAAGGAAAGCTACATGTTACATAACAACATAACGTATATGCCAAAGAATTGCCATATATTATTAGTTCTTGTCGAACCAAACTAAATCCATCGCTTATATTTCTGTTACAGGAAGGCCTTATCCTTGTCGGCGGAAACACGATGTCTGAAGTGAGCATAAATCTGAACTCATTGGCTGCCAAACAACAATCAATCGTCGGGATCCCCAAAGGTTCCTTCGCCCAGCTCAGGGACCTCGTAACCGCGGTATCTGAAGGGGCCGTGACGCCACCAACCTACACTGTTTACCCCGCGGAAGATGCTGCACAAGTGTTCGATGACTTAGCCAGATGCCGAATCACCGGCAGGGCAATTTTATGTTTTGGAAATCTTACAAATGATCATGCGATGGTAAACAACAACTAAATGCCGCCACATTAATGACAAAAAGCGTGTTCAATCACTGTGATCTACTCGGGTCTAAAACGTGGAGTGCTGTCTCCTAATCCCACCGCACTACAAGGGGCGGTAGGGCGCTTCGACAAGGCGGTCTAGTGGACTTTGAATGGCCAGTTCAATAAGTAGGAAGATGCGGGTATGTTTGTATCAAGGGCATGCTGATAGGTCCCCGAAACTACTTCAAAATATGGTGCTGCCTCTCTATATACTATTGAACACTCGCCAATCATCAACGCCAACGGGAGAGACCATCGGAGACGTCAATATTGGTAACACTGGGTTGACATCTCATCTCTGTTCATATGATAACAAAGTGTTATGTCAAGTTTCTAACGAATGGATTGTAAATCTTTAGAATAATACTTGATAGTTATAGAAGTCGGTCTAAACACATTGGGCTGCTACGTTTCGAACAAACTTTGAATCAATATGTTCTCGTGTTGTTGTCAGATGTGAGAGCATTATCGACAAGAACAAATGGTATTCTGCTTTAACGATCTCGTTACGCTGAGATGAAACGTTAGGTGCGAGCGGACTATAAAGAGATCTGACTTGTGATTCTTACCATGATATATATACTCTTCATTGCATCAAATGTTTGTGTACTAGAAAAAAAGGTTGTGCTTGTCTGTGCGATATTGTGTCCAACATCGAGGTCAATTCCACGACAGGACTATGTCACCGAGTCATTGTAATATCGTTATACATGTTCAAATATTGTAAGTATTTGTGTTTTGAATATAGTTGCACTTAATTGATTTGTGTATGGGAATGCCATTCCACTCAATGTTCGGTCGAATACGTGTTGGGAGAAAGGCTGAGCAATAGACTGTTATTTATTATGGTGAGGTGGGTGAGAGTGTTGGGAGTGACGCGTACGTGACCTAATTCTAGTATTTAAGTGCTGAGTATAATTCTCCTGAAGCTATTGTGATAGGAAGTAAATGTTCTGCTATGAATGACGAGTATGCGACATATATTCTTGTTAAAAGTGAACGTCTGAATGGGAAAAATTAGCGGTTTTTGTACTATTATGAAGTTACAAATTTTTGATTTTATAAATTAAAAAAATGTGATCAAACTTTAAAGAGGTTTTGGAAGTTTTTATTTAATCGACAGTATTTTGATGCAAATACATAGTCTTTCAAAGCATATGATAATTGCATATATTGTTTTATAGAGGATAGTGCACAAAACGACTTGCTACAGGCTGAACTGAATACGTCTGTGATACCTTAGGCTGAACTGTTCACTAACCTATAGGTTATTGACAAAGGCCTTCACGCTTTCCGAGTTATTAACTGTTCCCATGGAATTAAATGAGAATTCAAGTCCGTGCTGTTCCTATCTTTTCCCTATACCACTTGTCTACCAACCAAGACGTACACTGTACACTTTTATTCAACTCTAATGCAGTTTACTTCCACATATATATATGTGCAAATTGTTATGCATCTAAGTACATGTAGTTACTGTAGCATTTGTGAAACGAAGAGTCGCATTTCATGGAAAATCTGTTGATCATTGAAGGACGCATCGGTATTGGAGTTTTGTAAAACAGTGGTGGTTTATCTAATTGAGAAAGTTATCCTAACATTGAAATTTACAGATAAATGGTCAAAACTGGACATGAGCTTGTTGACGATACCATTAACCAATCCAAAAGTAGGTCGGATGGGCATTTGAGAGTTTTCTATTATTATTATTATTAAATGCTTAACGGCTCATCAACACAGGACAGGTCATTAGGGCCAACAAATGGTCACCAAAAACTAATGCTAAATAAAAACATCAAACAAACAAAAAGGAAAAAAGATTCAAGACATGTAATGTTATTATTATAGCTATTCTAATAAGTGTTTTACTGTAAAAGGTTCCTGACGAGCTATGCATCGAGGCTGGACGACCCATCCGAAGACGGGCAAGGACAACCTCATCTCGGCTTCTCTCTCTGTAACATAGGTAGGATGCCATTCACCGATTTTAGGTTTAACAGAATGTAATTTGTTATCTACACATTGATTACAATGATTTTGCTAATGTTATAATCGGTGGTTTAAAATCGGTAAAATGAAGATTAAAATCTTCAGGTGGTAGTAATCGTGCTGTGAAATTTCGCAGCACGATCTGCCTTTTCACATTACCTGGTATTCCCGCATGTCCAGGAACCCAGCAAAAGGTTATATGACATTTTGAAGTAAAATAATGTAATAAATGTTAAGTTTTTTCGAATCGAGATATTCTTCAAATTTTTGTTGCGAAGGCTTTGTAGAACAGATAGAGAATCAGAATAGATAACTGACTGTGGTACATCATTTGATTTAATGTGCTCAAGGCCGAGATAGATAGCATGGGCTTCTGCTGAAAATATTGACTCACCATTGGGCAGCCGGCATCCAACTGTAGCATCTTTCGTTACAATTGCCGCGACGACTTTATGATCCATCTTTCAAATCGTCCGTATAAAACGACTGAGAATCCTTATAGTTTAATTGCAGTTTTGAAAAATTCGAACGAAAAATGTAAGATTCGGTTTCAGATTTGGATGTCTCATGGAGTGAGAGATCAACCTACAGTGAAACCAGAAGAGACTTGCCAATTAGTTCAACACAACCGGTATGTGAAAAAAAACCTTATAAGAAAGTGGAAAGAAAAGAAAAAGAATGGAGGACCTTTTTTAAACTAAAAAATATAGTGAGAAACATGTATAATATGTAAAATGAACAATGTAATAGTTATAGTTGAAGAAAAACTCTCGAGGACCACAAACTACCAGCTATAACAATAGTAAGATATAAAAACATGGAGGAGAAGGCGCAACTTAAACAATTCAAGGAAGGATATTTCAAGGTGGACAGGAGACGGGAACGTCTAATAGAGATCGAATCCAGGTAGATCCCGGTAAGTACTGTATGATAATGTTCAGTAAACAAAATATTGACGAGGTATCTATAGCGCAGTAGTGATACAGGCTCAACCACAATCTCCAAATTATACAGTATTATCTGGGACACTCGTATTACAGTCCACACATGCCTAATGCGGGGAATTGTCCTCAATAGCGCCCAGCAAGGTGACCCTGATAGCGGCATGGTGTCCACGGGCGGGACCCACTACGTATGCATATATATACACATTCAAGTAAACAATAATGATTTATAGCTCAACGAGAAAAATGCAGTTAATAGTTTTTATAAACATATTTACTTCTCACCAGTGAAAACCTCAATCAATATTCACTTATGATGACGTAAGCGCCTGGCGAGCTCGGCTGGCTTAAAAACAGGTCAATGCAGACCCTACTAACACTTGCTGTGATTTAATCAAAGTCTGGGGTATCCTCTCACCCTCTTGCCAAACAATGCACGTATGCACTTCTCTTATTGTACATTTGTCCGAGTCTGTAATGGTGAAAGTCTGCTATCGTCTTCCAAATTGAGTAAATTGTACTTTTAATTGGTTAATAACATGTATGAGTAGACAATAAACACGCACGTGCATGTTTTGTTTAAAAATAATCATCCTTTGTACATGCGTATGACATGACAGAGTGAACAAATATAAATAAATAACAAAAACAAAACAAAACCCCCCGAAAAAAAAGGTGCTTTGAGTTTAAATGATTCTTTTAAAACATTTACGAATCTGATTCTCGGACTATGTGTTTCAGGTGATATTTTTGTCTAGTTAATGTTATACAAGGTAGCATATTGTGGCTGTTGATTGGTCCTTCAAGGTTATACACCCCTTAGGAAAGGTCACACAAGGACATCAATGTCCAGGGGTTGGTCTTACAAAATGAGACGTTTTCTGTTCTGGTTGGTCACAAACTATTTAACTTCGTTTATTCTGAACGCAGGCATATCTGTCTCTATATTCAGATCAAAGACCATATATATTTTCAACAAATTAATCAGACTATAGTACAAAAAACGTGTATAAAATACAGGTGATAAGTACAAATATAGAGTGTCCAAAATGAAGTAGGATATTTTTCCAGTTGAAATAAGATGGCGTCAAGACTCAAGATAAAAATATAGAGATATGATTAAGGTTCTATGTTTCAGACCAGCTTTGATCACTGTAATACGTAACTTCGACTATGACTATGTATATATACCGTGTGTACATTGGGTGCATCTTACTGTGTACTATTGGGTACAGGAATACCTTGTCAGTGTCAGTAGGGTGCGTCTCCTGTTGTTCTCGTGTATACACTTCAACTAACCCTGTTTTCCTCAGAGCACCGAGTTAACTTGGCGTGTAACATATCACAGGTGTGAACCGATATGCTGGTCGAATACTACAGATATACCGGTCGAATACTACAGATATACTGGTCAAATACTCCAGATATACTGGTCAAATACTACAGATGTCCTGGTCAAATACTACAGATATACTGGTCGAATACTACAGATGTCCTGGTCAAATACTACAGATGTACTGGTCAAATACTACATACTACAGATGTCCTGGTCGAATACTACAGATATACTGGTCAAATATTACAGTTGTCCTGGTCGAATACAACAGATATACTGGTCAAATACTACAGATACACCGGTCGAATACTACAGATATACTGGTCAAAAACTCCAAATATACCGGTCGAATATGCTAGATATACCGGTTGAATACTTTGGATCTAATTGTCGCATATGCTAGATATACCGGTCGAATACTCTAGATATACCGGTCGAATACTCTAGATATACCGGTCGAATAATTTAGTTATACCGTTCAAACACTTTTGATATACTACCGTAGATATATTTGTCAAACACTCTCGCTACTGTTCTAATCTCTTGATTTACTTCACGAAGTTAAATAGTCGAGACATCCAGGCCGATTTCTGTAGATAGTTTACTCGAACAACTTTCTAGATTTACCATAAACAAGTTGGAATATGGCTGCAGTTATGGGTCATATATAATTGATATGCCAAGCTTAATGTGCGCCAGAATGTTAGTGACGTCACCGTCACGTACATGTTTATAACTCGAGCGAGGGGCACCTACATAACATGAAGTTACAAAACAACACAATGAATAGATTATACGTTCCCTTTAAACACGACCTGAGCGTCATCAACAAGGCCAGATTAAATCGGTCATTTTTTTAGATTTTGTCACGTTTGCCAGTCGTACTGTGCATATATAGTGGCTTACATGAGTGTGTATGTATGCTATACACTGTCCCTGCTTGGAGCAGGGTAGAACAATCGTTAATATTACTGTAATAATTAATTCACATATGATACGGAAGCCAGTATTTACATAATTACATGCACAATTGTTTCTAAAGAATCTGTGGTTTGTTATTGTATTAGGTATGGTATCCATCTTTAGGCACATCTACTAACGTAATGGACACCAAATGGAAATCAGCGCAACATGAACCGCCATAGACCCCACTAGCAGTCAGATTCGATGTAAAAACGTAAAGAAAATATATCTATTCGTGGATTTGAATACTCTTAACAGACACAACCAACATCATCACAAAGACAGATACAAGTAGGTGAGAATCAAATATCCCCGCGGTTCAGAGTAATATTTTCTAGGACGTCCTCACGGCGAGCTAGCGGCAAATTGAATATTTGAGTTGTGTCGGTTTTTCAAGTAGCGGAGTGAAGCGAGACCAACATATCTCGGTTAAAGTCTCTTAAAAAGCCAAATTAGTTGGGTCTAATTCGTGCTGAACTCAAACATATCGGTTAATAGCATTCAAAGATTTCGGTAAAATGCGTGGGATAGGTGATGATTTCATGTAAAATGCAAACGATGATGTGATATTTTTTCAAAGAATTTTAAAAAAGGCTAAATTATTGTAGAGGAAATTAACTGCAGTTTTGAATACATCTAGTATGCAACGTGCGTTTGATAGTGATGGTTATCTGGGTAAAAGATATCAGGATTCTTAATGGAAGCAAACGGTGGAGATAATCAAGATTTAATATATTATGGACCTTACAGCATGTTCAGCGTTACACTTTTTTTTCTCCTATAATATATTAAGATACCTATCCAGTTAGGTAAAATGTCTTACAAGGTGATGATGTCAAAGCCATGATAAAGAGATCTGG